GTAGTTACTCTGCTTTTTCGTTGATGGTTGTTATGTATTTCTGTAACAGCCTGGTCCGGATTCCATTGGAATCATCGCAATTTCTCATGGTTGCACTGGTGTGGCAGCACGCGCCTGTGGCCTAGTGGGTCTTGAGCCTACAAGGGTAAGTATATAGAATCATTCTCATCTCTGATTTATACAATCTCCACATGTATTTTATGTAACAAAATTAAAATGTTTTCTCTATTTTCAAGGTTGCAGAGATCGTCAAGGATCGTCCTTCGTGGTTCCGCGAATGTCGAGCTGTTGATGTTATGAACGTGTTGCCAACAGCCAATGGTGGAACCGTTGAGCTGCTTTATATGCAGGTTAGTTTTAAACTATGTGCTACATTTAGTATTATTTTTCTAAAGTTGAAAATAATGACAACCATGAACCATCCTCTTGATTTTTGCAGCTCTATGCACCAACTACGTTGGCCCCACCACGCGATTTCTGGCTGTTGCGTTACACCTCTGTTTTAGAAGATGGCAGCCTTGTGGTATGTAGCTTTTCTTTTCTGTCAGTGTTCTTATTCATGTTGATCCATTTCACAAGGTGTAATAAATCTTATAGGTGTGCGAGAGATCTCTTAAGAGCACTCAAAACGGTCCTAGTATGCCACTGGTTCAGAATTTTGTGAGAGCAGAGATGCTTCCCAGTGGGTACTTGATACGGCCTTGTGATGGTGGTGGCTCAATCATACACATAGTGGATCATATGGATTTGGAGGTAACAAGCCTCACTCTGCACCAATTCTAATGGATCATATGGATTTGGAGGTAACAAGTCTTGTAAATATTAACCAAACTGTTTGGATATCTGTTCTGTTAAATAGGCTTGTAGCGTGCCTGAGGTCTTGCGCCCGCTCTATGAGTCACCAAAAGTACTTGCGCAGAAGACAACAATGGCAGTATGTCAATTTAAACTCATTTATTCTCCTAAGCTTGCATTCTGATATTTGAAATTATTGTTCTCCAATGATGTATATTCATCCAATTTGTCTCAAAGGCACTGCGTCAGCTCAAGCAAATAGCTCAAGAGGTTACACAGACTAATAGTAGTGTTAATGGGTGGGGACGGCGTCCTGCTGCCTTAAGAGCTCTCAGTCAGAGGCTAAGCAGGTAATTTTTTTAATATACACTACGATTTGCCTCTTCTTCTTGGGTTTAGGTTGTATATATTGCTATCTTATACATTTTTCCCTACAGAGGATTCAACGAAGCTGTTAATGGTTTCACTGATGAAGGATGGTCAGTGATAGGAGATAGCATGGATGATGTTACAATCACTGTGAACTCTTCTCCAGACAAGCTAATGGGTCTAAATCTTACATTTTCCAATGGCTTTGCTCCTGTAAGCAATGTTGTTTTATGCGCAAAAGCATCAATGCTTTTACAGGTCAGTGCACCATATTTTTGTTATAGATCAACTGATGATTGTTTCAACACTTTTTCACCTTCGTTTTTGGGATTTTGCAAATACAGAATGTTCCTCCGGCGATCCTGCTTCGGTTTCTGAGGGAGCATAGATCAGAATGGGCTGACAACAACATTGATGCGTATTTAGCAGCAGCAGTTAAAGTGGGGCCTTGTAGTGCCCGAGTTGGAGGATTTGGAGGGCAAGTTATACTTCCACTTGCTCATACTATTGAGCATGAAGAGGTTAGTTCACGTTTCTTCGATGCCCTTATTGTTTTCTTTTATCTCAATAATTTAAGTAACTGTTGGTGTTGTTTTCATTGTCAGTTTATGGAAGTCATCAAATTGGAAGGTCTTGGTCATTCCCCTGAAGATGCAATCGTTCCAAGAGATATCTTCCTTCTTCAAGTAAGTACTTTAGCTTGTTCATTCTGAGTAAGGTTTAAATGTAGATCTCTAGTACCTGAAATATATGTTTCTTGTGATTAGCTTTGCAGCGGAATGGATGAAAATGCCATAGGAACATGTGCTGAACTTATATTCGCTCCAATCGACGCTTCTTTTGCGGATGATGCACCTCTGCTTCCTTCTGGTTTTCGTATTATCCCTCTTGATTCCGCGAAGGTTAGAATAAATTATGTTTTACATCGAAGTCTTCTATTTTTCAGTTTTTCAGATTCTTAAGCTATTCTTGTACCCAAAAGCAGGAAGTATCTAGTCCAAACCGAACCTTGGATCTTGCTTCGGCACTGGAAATTGGTTCAGCAGGAACAAAAGCCTCAACTGATCAATCAGGAAACTCCACATGTGCAAGATCTGTGATGACAATAGCATTTGAGTTTGGTATCGAGAGCCATATGCAAGAACATGTAGCATCCATGGCTAGGCAGTATGTCCGAGGTATCATATCATCGGTGCAGAGAGTAGCATTGGCTCTTTCTCCTTCTCATATCAGTTCACAAGTTGGTCTACGCACTCCTTTGGGTACTCCTGAAGCCCAAACACTTGCTCGTTGGATCTGCCAGAGTTACAGGTATAAACCAAACTATCAAATATGTTCTAATTTTCCACCAAATCAACAATCCGTAGTTACTAAAGATGTCTCGTTTTGCCCGTTGATAATAGGGGCTACATGGGTGTTGAGCTACTTAAATCAAACACCGAAGGCAATGAATCTATTCTTAAGAATCTTTGGCATCACACTGATGCTATAATCTGCTGCTCAATGAAGGTAACAAACACAATGTTAAACACATAAATGTGTATTCGAAACGAGTACTTGACTCGCGTATTCGCTAATCTGTTTTGGGATTTGAATATTGGTTAGGCCTTGCCCGTCTTCACATTTGCAAACCAGGCGGGACTTGACATGCTGGAGACTACATTAGTTGCTCTTCAAGACATCTCTTTAGAGAAGATATTTGATGACAATGGAAGAAAGACTCTTTGCTCTGAGTTCCCACAGATCATGCAACAGGTTTTTAGAAACATTTTCTGATCTTCATTCTCATCGCATTTGTTCAGTTTTATCGACTTACCGGGATCTATATTTTCAGGGTTTCGCATGCCTTCAAGGAGGGATATGTCTCTCAAGCATGGGGAGACCAGTTTCGTATGAGAGAGCAGTTGCTTGGAAAGTACTGAATGAAGAAGAAAATGCTCATTGCATCTGCTTTGTGTTCATCAATTGGTCCTTTGTGTGAGATTTATTGTATTTTGTATTTTCAGACAAAGCTTTTGCGTTTTGGCTGTATTGTAAAACGGTCATGTTGTTGTTCTTGAATCTTGATGTTGCTTTGAACACGTAAAACAGTGTTGTTTTGTTTGAAAACTCAAGAAATGTTTGCTTAATTTGTAGTTTGATTAAGAGTGATGATCTTTTTCTTTTCTGCTTATTTAGTGCATTGTAGCTTTCTAAAGTTTTATTCGACTTCTTTACAAAGAAATTTTGCCCATCACACAAGTTATCTTTTTTCCTTTCCTAAAATGTATGACAATCAATACACTCAACCATGGCCATCTCTATCTGGTGTAGGTTTCCACAGTGACAAATTGGATAGTTTCGGATAAGGTTGAGATTTATAAAAAAAAAACAAATTACAGGAGACAAACCAAAATGTATATTCTTTCCGTTTCACAAAGAGTGTCATTTTAAGGTTTTATTTTTGTTTTACAAAGAATGTCATTTTGTGTTTTCAATGCAGTTTATTACATTTGGTTTAGTTTTTCAATGCAGTTTATTACATTTGGTTTAGTTTTACAAGGACATTAACTGAACAGTCAACTTAGTTCCATTTTGATGAAAACTCGATGAAAACTGAAAATTTCAAAACACCAATATATTCTATTTCAATCAAACGAAAGAAACATTATTGTCGGCCATTAGTTTAGGATGAATATTGTGTGCCAATAATAGAAAAAGAGTTGTTTGTTTTTAATTTGAAACTCAATTTCCTAAAAAATATATTTAGAAAAGGATGAAGCAATTATTTAACACATAAAGCAAGACCTATAAAATCCGTATATAGATATTATGGCTATCATACATAGTGCAATCTAAAGTACAAAAAAAGTTGATATATAAAAGTTTGTTATAGCTCTCTTCCACCTTAAATTGTATTTTTGTTTCTGCTTTTCCATTATTTGGGTTTATTAACATTATATGAGCTAGTACATCAAGTGGTTACATTTTTGTACGTGTTCAGTAAAATTCGTGATTATATGTTTGTTTAATTTTAATGATCGTATATGATAATGACACAATTTATTTTGGTAAATTTTGGTTTAACCGCTATCCGTACCCGTTGATCAACCAGTCATAAATCTCCCGCAAATGCACCTGTTTTCAACCGCTAAACCAGTTGGTCAAAACGCTAAATAACGCTTGAAACCGCAACCGCCCGCTTCCGCAAACTCTCATAACCGCAACCGCTGCGTTTAAACCAGTCAAGCCCACAGTAGGCATGTCGATTTGATACCATATGAATCCCTAAGCCTACCTAACTTGATTACATCAAAATATCCTCAAAACGTATCAGATTTCGTATAGCTATCATAATTTCATTCTTAGAACAACACATGCATGCAAACGTTGACACTACTAACTTGCTAGATGCATGCAAACGATTCACTTCGATGAATTTCGATAATATTAATTTATTCGAATATTAGTTCAATTTCATTCATGGTAATTCATTGTGGACACACTGAATGGTAAAATATCTGAATTTTGTTTATCCGATTATCATTTATCGAAAAAAATAAAAATCAGATAAAACCTTACAAGAAAAGTATTTACCCTAGAATCTGGATTATTTCAAATTTTAATCAGAGGCTGCAATAATTCCTACATCCTAGTTTTTTTTCCTTCTAAAATTTGGTCCATATTCATTATATTTGTTTTCGTTTAAAGTGACATGGATGCAATAATTATGCTCCAATAGTAATACATAAGCTTTTGCTTTGTCTTTAAAATCTTTTTATAATCTTGCACGTTTTAGTACTACTCTCTCTCTTTCTTCCTTTATAAACCCCTCACATTTCTTCTCCTTAGCTCATAAGTAATCATATTCCAAAAAAAATTATTAATACAAATCTCTCTTTTCTCTCTAAAAAATCTCGATATGGATCAAAACGTACCAATAAGCAAGAAGCTATGGAACATCGTACGTTTTCTCTTGTACATGATCCGCAAAGGCGTCTCAAAAAACAAACTCATCGCTGACTTCAACGCCACTCTCAAACGTGGCAAGAACCTCATGTTCCACCACCGTCGTCGTGTCCACGCCGGTTCCACCTCCTCAGACGCTCTAAACGCTACTTCAGCCACCGCGTTATCGCGACAAGAATACGAGTTTAGCTGCAGCAACACTCCAAACTATTCATTCCCTTTCCCTAATATGGCTTTCATGAGGAAAAAGAGTCACAATAATCTCTTCACGTGTGGTCAAACGCCTCAGACGCTAGACGACGACGTAGCCGCCGCTAGAGCCGTTCTTGAGCTTCTTAACGGTGTTGGAGACAAAGGAAATGTCACGCCGGCAGATTTAACGGTGGCTTTGTCTCCTTATTTCCCCGGGTTTGGACGGACTCCTCTGGTTAGACCGTTAAGAGTGACGGACTCACCGTTTCCGTTAACGCCGGAAAATGGTGACGTGGCTAATAGACACGTGGACAAGGCTGCTGATGATTTTATAAAGAAGTTTTATAAGAACTTGAATCAGCAGAAAAAGATGATTGAGTTCAGCTAAATATTAATCTGAATTATTGTGTGTATCTTCATCATATTTCTCTTCCTTAAATATTTTTTACTCTTTTTTTTTTTTTCCTTGTTTTGTGCTGATTAAAATCCAAAGATGTAATGATATTTTTGGGGGGTTTTATTTTCGAGTTTTTTTTAACACAATTGGATATTATGAATAAACAAAATATCATCAGTTCTATTAGTAAAATCTGTATTGTTATGTGGAAATTTGTAGTGACTTAAGTAAAGTTAATTCCAATAAAAATTAATCAATCTCTGAATCAACAAACTTTCATAACGACACCAAAATTTGTTGCAATTAAACTGGTAATATTATTTTCCTATTAATACGACCTCTATCCAATGAATACTTCAACAAGAGATCTCTCTAGCTTTAACTTAAAAGTAGTAAATTTTAAACTATTTAACACTTTGAAATAAAGTTATAAGCAACTTGTTTAAAAAATGTGATGACTGGAATAACTTTATTTACTATATATATATATATATACATATATATATAACTTAAATACTAATATTTCAATAAAAACAGATGAATCCAATAATAGTTTTATAGGATAGTTCAATGACATACTAATATTTTCAAAATTTATTTTTAAAAGTGACAAATCATTATAATGATATGGAAAAATATTTTATTAATTTATTTTATGATTTTAAATTCGCTTGTTTGGTTGTCTCAAACAAAGACATATATATTATGCAAGTGCATTATTCTCCGCATCGTCCTTTGATTAGTACTTAGTAGTATCTACCATTTCGTACGGGTTGAATCTTTATTAGCGTTTTAATCAATTGCTTCTAATGACCCCAAAATAGACCCAAGAGGTTTACATTTTTTTATTTTCAGATTACTCTATTACATCTTTCCCCTATATATATTACTATTGTTTTATACCACCTCGAGGTTATACAATCTCATACAAAAGCCCGAATATTTGTATAGTGATTATATGAAATTTACGGTAGTTTAATATGTGCAGTATCACTTTACAAAAACGTTTACGCACTGAAAACATGCTAAGAAAATTTTATTGTTGTAAATTATTTTGATATACACCTTTAATGAAATGAAACATGAAATAAAGTGGATATTGCAAGCTGTTTGGCTCTTTCCCTAAAGCAAAAGAGTGAAAAGTGCTTTGGTTTCCAACTTTTTTTCTTTAATTTCCTTTTACATCTTTTAATTTTCTTAATAATATATTCACAAGTTTGAATTCCTAGTCATAGCAATAAGCCAATTACGTATCAAAACAACAACTCTACCACTACCAATAAAAGCTTATATATGGCAGAGTCAATAAAAACTTCTGTAGTAAGTCACTATTTTTCATCTTTTTAGATTCTAAAAATCAAGAATGAAAATCAAGGTTCTAAGATATTCTTTCCTTAGTTGGGAAATAAAAGTGATTAAGACAAGTATACAATTATACATGTGTTTGATACATAAACATCATCTATATATCCAAAGGGAAGATGGATAGAGACAATATGTTTATGTGGTGCATGATAAGTAATCTTTAGGAAGTAATTGACAAAATATGAAATGATATACATATAGACATGTTAATCGGGCTAACCCGGTTCAACGCGGCCCGAAACCCGTATAACCCGTGTATATTTGAGCCTAATTCGGTGCGGTCTTAAAAAATTTGGAGCCTATATTTCAAAGTTCTGGTCGGTCCTAACAGGGCTATAGGACTTTCCGGGCTTTTACGGGTTTCATTTTGAGAAAGAAAAACAAACTTATAAGTTTCTACATCTCTTGAAAATAGTAAAACTATGTATAAAATGAGCCAATGAAACTACTAGTATTCATTAAAACAACTTAATTTAAAAACAAAAGTTTCAAACCAAATAAATTATTTAAAATTATATAAAATAAAACATTAAACAAAATATTTTAAACTACATTATGTTGTAGAGCCAAAATTTGAATTCGCTTCAATGCAATCTAAATCTTTCTCTGCTTCAATTTATTATAATCTCTGTATAAAATTGAAGAAAGAACGTTTTAATATTCAAGCTTAATTAAACAAAACCTAGATTATATAACTCTCCTAATTGTTTATGTATTCGATATAAATTAGCTAAAACTATTTTCTAAAATGGGGATGATAGAGATCATAGAGTACTAATATATAAGAGCTATCAAAAGTTATTATTGACCGGAACTAACCTAGAATTGTGAAAGTTATATATATATATACTAATTCAAGTACAGCTGAAACATTTCAAAAGAAAAAATACCCAATGATTTAAGAGAGAACCGCATTTTAAATTGTTACTTGGAGGACCACGATGAAGCTTTATAAATTATTTGGATAGTCTATAGCTCATGTAGCAGCTTTTATGCTGGTAGTGCCTTTTTAGGGTTTGGTTGAACATGTGTGAGAGATACTTCCAAATGATTTCTGAGATTCTTATTGGATAAGGACACTCTTCTTCTTATTATTGTTTGTGTTAATCATCTTCTATCGAGTTACCTTTATGTGATTGTTAAACTACGAGAATGTTTTATATAATATGAGTATGATGAAAAGGAGTGGTTCTAAACTTCTAATCTCATATGGGTTTCCAACAATAACCAAAACCAGAAATGGATTGAAGAATAATCATGGGCCGGCACAGCCCATTGTATTCACCTACCCAAGTTGTAGACTTTTTTTTTTTTTCGCCAACCCAAGTTATAGACTTGTAGCAAGTAGAACTAACATGAAATAAACCACATATCACCAACAAAATATATATATCCCTACTACTAATCTTGTGCAGTAGGTACATATTTGTTTCGTCTACTACAACTTTATATTTATTTGAAAGTCATATAATGTTTCGAAACATTATTTATCGTTTATAGCAGATGAACACAATATATGACGACCAAACCTAAAATAGAGATGAACATAATCGGAAACATAATATACCACGGCAAGCGATTGAAGATATGAATTCAGAGTTGAAAATTAAACGAAATCTATATATCTATACTATGTTTAATAAAATTTTCGTGCTCCAACGATTTAAGTGGCGAAAACAACGGATCTTCAGTTTCTCGACGACTAATCTTGAAACCCCTCCAATGCAAGTAGCGGTTGCATGTCTCAAGAAGTCCTGTTTCTAATTGTTCTATCAATGAGGGAGAGGATATGGACTGACTTGAAGTGGTTTTGGTGAAAGCGAAGATTCTTCTCTACCCACAAATTGTAAAAATTAAATAAGTTTTTGATAAAAGTTTAATCTTTTAACTTTAACTATCAATTTTACAAGAGATGGGAGACGATGACTACCAACAAGAAGGATTCTGAATCATAACTTTTTCGTGGGTAACATTTATGACATTCAGCAAATCCTGAAAATAAAATTAAATAACTTTGAGAACCGTTAACTTCCGAACTAACACTGTTTCGCGTCGTGTTGAAATCGGCTCATTTGCATTAGTTCAGGTATCGATTTTGAATTACTTTTGAGTTTGGGTTGAAATCGACTAGGGATCATAGTTTGGGTTGGAAAAACCCACCAACAAATAATTGAGATTGAAAAATGCCGTTTTCCCCATTAAAAGTAGGGTTCCGTTGTAGGCACAATAAGCGCCGCCATATTAGCGTAAATAGAAATTATAGTGTTGTAAACAAATATTTGCGTCCCAGGCAAGACTTCATATAGTCTTTGAAATAATAATATAATTTTATATTATTATTTTAAATAATATTCTAAATCATACGTAATGTACAGTATTAAGATGGCTCTAAAATGATATACTGACTATCGAACTAGTGGGGAGTCATATAATTATTTTGTAAAAGAGCCAATTGAGACACATTATATTCATCAGAGGGGGAGTCATATAAATACTTCGAAGATTCATTTTAAAATAAAATAAAAATCAATTGTTCCCTCTACTTATCGTCAAAAACATTTTCTCTTTTTTTTTGTCAATCAATTTTGTAGAAACAAAAGCTTCTTTCCCACTAAAATATTTTCACATTTAACCAAAACAAATTAAAACCTCTCTCTTCTCCCTCTCTCAAATAAACTAATTAGGAGAAAAAAAAATAATAAACTAATTATAATTTTTTGTTGTCAACTTGAGAATTTTAAATGTCGTATATTATAACATTTATGAAAGACCAAGACCTGGACAGTTTACCGGCGAAGCTCGAGTCGTTTGTTATAACATTTATGAAAGACCAAGACCTAGACAGCTGAGTCTTATATTATATTTATCAAAGAAGCTTATATATATCTAACATTTATAAAAGACCCAAAACAAATAATTTTTACCAAAAAAAGAAAGAGACTCTCTCCATATTCGTATACAGATAACTTCATCAGCTTATAGACCAACATACAACAGTACTCTCTGTTCTTCAACTTCTCTCTCCTTCAACACCAAAGGTTAGCTCTCTCTCCCTCCCTCTATCTATGCAGATTTACTTTAACTTTATCAATGTTTTGAGCACTATATTCTTACATAAATTATTGTAAACGCAATGAGCATAGTTTGGAAAATGGTAGAGATTATCTTCAATTAGATATAATAGTTTTTTTTCTTGGTAAAAATTAGATAATAGTTGTAACCGGCTTCTTTTTTTTCACTCAAGAAGTTTGATCTATTAAATGGCCTTCTTGCTCTGTCTAGATCCTGTTTGATCATCGACTTGAAATGGTCTATCTTTTAATAATTCCTAACCTATATAAACACATATTGCTTTTGATGCAAACTACTGACTAAGTAACAAAACTCCCTCCATGGCTCCATGTCTCAAGATTCAAATCTTATCCAAAATGACCGAAAGGTTGGAAGTGGTTGGTCTCAAGAATGCTGCAAGCAAATATGAGTGGGATGATGGATCCGATCATGATGATGTGACAAAGATATATGTACGAGGTGGTCCTAAAGGCATACAATTTATCAAGTTTGAATATGTCAAGACTGGACAACTGAAAGATGGATCATTCCATGGTTATTCAGGCCCAGGTTTCACACAGATGGTATGACTCGGAAATATGCTACTTAAAATTCTATTTACTCGGGTTCATCATGTGGATAACTTTGATTTTTCTTTTCTCTAACCAATGTTTTCGCAGTTTGAGATTGATCATAAAAAAAATGAACATCTTTTATCTGTTGAGGGTTTCTTCGATTTCCAAAACGACGTAATTTTTGCACTTCAATTCAAAACAAACTTGAAGATCTCTGAAATCATGGGTTATGAATATTTTAATCATAAGTTTACGCTAGCAATGGAGGGAAAGAAAATCATTGGGTTTCACGGTTCTGCTGATGCTAACCTCAAAGCTCTTGGTGCATATGTTACTTCGATTACTCCTGCAAGAATGGAAGCCAAAGGGGGCAAAGGAGGCAAGGAATGGGATGATGGAGGCGACTATGAGGCTGTAACCAAGATTCATGGACGAAGTGATCATAAAGGCATAAAAGACATCATATTCGATTATGTTGACAAGGATGGACATCCCAAAGATGAAACCCATGGTTCTACCTCGGGTCAAGGTTACACACTTGAGCCGGTATGTATGACCAGGAATAATAAAAAAAAGAAATCTCCCTTGAATTTGATGACTAGTGCTTAATATAAAAATTTAATTTTCCTTAAATGTTAATGTGATGTTTTAACGCTTTTTTTGTTTTTGTTTTAGTTCGAGATTAACCATCTCGGCAAGGAATATCTGCTGTCTATTGACGGTTACTATGATGAGACATCCGGTGTCATTCAAGCACTGCAATTCAAAACCAACATGAAGACTTCGGCACTTATGGGCTACTATGACGACGATGCTGTGAAGTTTACAACTGAATGCAATGGTAATAAGATCATTGGGTTTCATGGATATGCTGAGAAGAACCTAAACTCGCTTGGAGCATATTTCACAACACTTCCTCTAACTAAATTGGAATTCGAAGATAGTTTTCATGAAAAGCTCTATCAGATATATGGTAATTCAGGTGGCCTTTGGGATGATGGTAGTTTCCAAGGAGTAAGAAAGGTGCAAATTTATTATGATGGATATTGTGTGCGGTGTATTAGGTTCCATTATGATAATGGCGACAAAGTCGAATCCCGTGAGCACGGGTCGCAAATTGTTGATGGGGTACAAGAAGGAGAGGTAATAATTCTTCAACTCTAAATATATTTCTATATCTATCTATTATCAATGTTTTTGAATTACGACTTATAAGTAATGAGCACTTTCTGTTGCAGTTTATCCTGGACTATCCAAATGAAGTTATTATGTCTGTTGAAGGGCTTGCCGCTAGCATTAATGAGAGAATCCCCTTCGGTACTGGAAACGTGATGATTAAATCGTTGACTTTCAAAACATCAAAATGTAGAACGTCTCCGACATTTGGTAATGTCTTTGGTAACAATATTACAGAATTCGTGCTTGAAAGCCAAGGTTGTGCTATTGTTGGGTTTCATGGAAGGTCTAATCCTGATTCTATTAATGCTCTTGGAGCATACTTTTTTCCGATCCCTCCTTCTCATGATGGGTAAAAAGTGGAAGCACAAGGTGGAAATGGTGGTTTGGGCGGTGTTTTTATTTTTTGTGCGAAGGGCGGCGTTTAATCATTTTCTTTTATTGATCTCTTATATATCTTGCGCTCTACTATGTATTCTCTCTTCTCTTTGTTTTGGTTTGTCTTTCTCGATATGAGACATGTTTTCTATGAAATAATAGACCCATAATATAATCTCTTGTTTTTTATAACAACAATTGTGAGATTTATTTCCTAAGCAACACAAAAGCAGGGCGGCTCTGAAGTTTTGGGGAAGTTTTCAACAAATATGTAAAACAATTTTAATTTTTTTAAATTGGGGGTCTGTTTTGCAAAAACATAAATAATTGGAAGACATATTTCTAGTATAGAAGTAATTAAAAATTTTGGGAGCCCTAAACCCATGTTTCAATTTGCTAGGCTCAAGCCGGTCCTGCACAAAAGGTTTGGTGGGACATAACTGGTTAAGACTACAAAGGTTTAGAAAACTGCCAAGGCTTAGATATTTTGAATCCCTATTTTGGTTGTATATTAACTGATAGAGGATAAATATATAACGAGTTTGCTCACTTTTATGGATGTTATTTCCAAAAAATGTAGCTGAAACTAACTATATAGGACAGAATCGTGAATTTAAAATGGATTTTACTCTTCTACGAGATCCACGCGTTGAGAGTTTTTTTGTTTTTGTTTCTTTAATGAAATGCACTGGATGTGGTTTCCATTAGACCATTACATGCATGATGCAAGCCTATTTGTCGAATTGGCAATCTTATAAAAGAAATAGCTGCGGGAAGACTTCACATAGTCTTTTAGTAATATGATTTCATATTTCAAATTGTATAGACTATTCTAAACCATATTTCATGTTTTGAGATGGTATTCATGACTCTCGAAACTGGTGTCATTAATAGTTTGTAAGAACAGTAAAAACTTGTATATAAGATACACCTTTATCCCTCAACCTTTTAAGATCTCTTTCTCTTCTGCTTTTTTTCAACATTTTTTATAGATTAACTCAAATGAGCCAATGTCGAGGGATATTGATTATATATGTGATAAGATGCGGTTCGGTACAAATATTTCGTGTCAAAGAATCCGCTTTAACATTCGCTGCGAGAAATCAAAGATAAAGAAAAATAAGAGAACTCACCCTTGTCAAATTTTTGAAGGTATAGAAGGATATACATTGGACTAAACCAGAATGATGTAATTTGTACTATGTTCTATTATTGTAATTTGTACATTTAATCCTATGATATAGGTTTATTGTTGTCTAGTGGTGGCAGATTTTTATAAGTATGATAATTCAATGGTTACAAGCTTTAGTTGATATATTTGTTTTGAAGCAATCAGTTTACTAGATACCCTTAGAGATCTACCAATATTCTCATTGTTTGAATGTATTTCATTGAAATCTCTAACTTGCATCCATGGACCATCTGGCGTTAAAAGAAAAGAAACATTAACAAAAACTTTAGAAATTAATACAAGCGTTGACAAATGAAATTTAATCAATCATACAACACACAAGTAGGGTTCTATTATATGCACAATGTCTATTTCTAAAATGGCGAATCAAATTGTAAATCCCTCAAAACAATATTCCCGGCCGGGGAAGACACTTTAACTAGTATTGGGGGATCCGAGTTCGAATCTTTCTATTATGATTCAATCGTACGTAGGGTATCCCTTTCCCTTAGTGCAAGGTGTGCGTCAGAAAACTCAACTTTTTTTTTTTTGGAATACCAGGAGGTTCTGAACCAAAACATGTAATCCCCCAGACCCAAAACCACAGTATATAATATTAGTTTCGTTCCAAGCATCACTCGAATTGGCGACCTCTAAGCTTCGTCTAGGATCTTTACCAAAGCTAACGACACTTGGTAAACTCAACTTTTCACAGATTTCGGAAAAAATTGTCAGAAAAATTTGGATCGAAAATCAGTTTGAAATACTTTTTATTCCTCTTTGTATTTTGTGTATATCCAAACTTGTGTGCTCAAATTGGTCTCGTTTTCTACCATTAATGTCATTCTCATATTTTAGATATTTTGAAGCAAGCTAAAAGGAATTGAATAGGTACGTGAAGATGTACAGGCCTTGTTCAAAAAATCGCTAGGCGTTAGTCGGGCGCTCGAGCTGGGCCTAGCGATTAATCGGTTAATCGGAGATTACACGGAAATTAATCGGGATTAGTTTTAGGGTTTTTATCTAGTTTTTAGATATATATAAAATAACTTGTAGACAAAGAATATAAATTCGGCTTAGTGTAGTGGTTTCAGTTGGTATAATGCGCACAAACACACGAGTTCGAGTCCCCAGATCTCGTTTTTGCTCTATTTTTAAACTTATTCTTTAATGAAGGGTAAAACGGACATTATACAGTCGTCTTCTTCACAGAGTTTCTAACCCTAATAATGGCGGCTGCTCAGTTTTTCATACATTTGCATCATTTTTAACTCATTTTTGTTCTCGTTTTTGCACAAATATAATAGATCTAACATGTATCATAGAATAATAAACCATAAACTACAAAAAATCGTTGTTCTCCGATTAAATCTCCGATTTAAACAAATCCCGGCGGCTACCTACCGCCGAGCGCTTAACCGGCGCTTAGGCGGCCGCGGAGGCCGCGTTTTCGAACAGGGTGTACAGGTGTGAAAATGTAAAAATATCCGTTTCCCATGTTGTATTTATAATGCATTATATTTGTTTGCTAAATGGAAGAGACAACAAATACAAGCGCTGACAAAAGAGAATTAATTATATACTACTATGCAAGTAGGGTTCCACTCTATCAACAAGCTATTATTTACAATTTGGCAAAACAATATTCGGATGGAAAGACTTCATGAAGTCTTTAACTAATATATAAAAAAAAATTAAACTTGGTGTTCTACAATGGTTACATTTATATATAATTTTAACCTAAAAAATTCTCAATTTTCATTTTTGAAACATTTTTAATCTCAAACAACCTAGATTATTCTCAGTCTCATTTACTTATTTCGTTCTGGTTTAAATTTGATTGTGGTTATTTAACCCACTCCTAAATTATAAGATACTAATTTGAAGCTTAAAACAACTATGAAATGAAAAAATTTAAAATGAATTTAATATAAAATGTAATGTAATTTTTGAATTGTCAATATGAAAATTGAAAATAACATTAAAGATATAATATTGATTAGAATTTTAAATTATAATTTCTTGTAGCAATATATATGTTAACGTTAATAGTTATCAATATTAATTTAAAACTAAGCATACAAATATATTTTGTTTGATATTTATTTTTTGTATAATTATTTTTATCTATAATTTTGGGACTTATTTGCCGAATATAAATGTAATATTGATTTCAACTTAAAATTTTACTTATACGAAAAATTATTATTTAAACCATATGATTAAAACCAAAAAATTTAATAATTTTAATAAAAAAATACTTTTTCTCTACTCTTTTTTTTTTTCTTAAAATTTACTTGAATGTGGCAGAGAAAGACTCATCATTTAAAACTCTGCTCACAAGAAAAGACCCAGTTGTATTTCACATTTATAAAAGACCCAATATTCTCTATTTGTAAAAGACCCAATATTCTATAAAAGACCCAGTTGTGTTTTACATTTATAAAAAATCAATATTCTCTATTAATAAATGACCCAATATTCTCTATTTGTGAAAGACCCAAAACTTGTATATAAATAGCTTTCATCCATAGGCTTATAGACCACCACAATACTATCTATTATTCATCAACTTTCACTCCAACATCAGAGGTCAGCTCTCTCTCCCTCTCCTTATGCATATTTTCTTTTATTTCGTCAATGTTTAAGCCTTATATTCCTAGATAAATTTTTGTAAACGTAATGACAGTCTAGACATGGCTATCTCCTGTTTTTACTTATTAGATAATATATAGAATTGTTCCCTTTTCATCCAATAAGCGTGATCTTCTTTTCATCCAATAATGTTTTTTTTTTTTTCCTTTTTAATTTCCGAACCTAATGAATCACAATTGGGTATTGATGCAAATTATTAGCTATAGGTAAGGCAATACACCATGTCTCAAGATTCAAATGCGTTTGAGATAATCCAACCGGAGGGGCCTAAGTGGGATGATGGATGTGACCATGATGATGTGACAAAGATATATTTGATAGGTGGTAAAGACGGCATACAGTTCATCAAGATTGACTATATTAAGTCTGGAGAACCGAAAAATGGATCATTCCATGGATATACGGGTGGAGGTTTCAAGCAGATGGTATGACTTGGAAAGTTTGCTAATGAATATATCCCTTTATTAATTTGTGTTCATGAGGATAATTAATATTGACTTTTGTTTTCACCAACTTTTACACAGTTTGAGATTGACAATCTAAAAAATGAATATCTTGAATCCGTTGAGGGTTACTACTCCAGCATGAGTGGCGGGTTCATTACAGCAATTCAATTCAAAACCAACTTGAGGGTTTCTGAGCTCATGGGATATAATAATGGACCTGGTGGCAGAAAACTTAAACTGGCAAACCATGGAAAGAAAATCATTGGGTTTCAGGGATTTAGTAAGTATAACCTTGACGATCTTGACGCACATTTTACTCCGATCACTCCTACAAGAATGGAAGCGCAAGGGGGCAAGGGAGGGGTAGAGTGGGATGATGGAGCTGACCATGATAGTGTAACAAAGATTCAAGTACGTATTAATAAGGAAGGCATACAATACATCAAATTCAATTATGTCGACAAGGATGGACATCCGGAGAAGGAGCAAGTCCATGGTTCAGATACGGGTAGAGGGAACACGCTACAACCGGTATGTATGACCGTGGAAATTAAAATTAAATTTTGATGACTAGGGGTTAACGCTTCTTGGTTTTCTACTACAGCAATGCAATGTTTCTTTTTCTTTTTTTTTTTTCTTTTTTTGTAGTTTGAGATTAACCATATCGACAAGGAATATCTGCTATCTATCGATGGTTACTACAATGAAGATTCAGGTGTAATTCAGACACTTCAATTCAAAACCAACATAAAGACTTCAGAAGTAATGGGAAACGATGAAGAGGGTACTAAGTTCACACTTGGATGCAACGGCCATGAGATCATTGGGTTTCATGGATATGCTCAAGATAACCTAAACTCTCTTGGGGTTTATATCACAACCCTTCCTCTAACTAAATTAGAATACAAAGGTAAAGGAGGTGAGATTTGGGATGATGGTACTTTCCAAGGTGTAAAAAAGGTGTCCCTTTATTCTTGTGATGATAGTATAAGGTGTATCGAGTTCGAATACATTAACGACGGCAAAATGGAAACCCGTGTGCACGGGACGAAGATTGAAATGGATTTTACCAAAGACGAGGTCATAATTCCTAAAACTCTAAATATTGTTTTTATCTATAAATATATGCGTGTGTGTTCTTGAACACTGCTTATATGTAAAAGCTTATTTTGTCGCAGTTTAAAGTAGACTATCCAAATGAGTTTCTCACGTCTGTGGAGGGGACTTATAATATAGACGACTCTCACGACACTAAGATAACGTCGTTGACTTTCAAAACATCAAATAAAAAGAGAACCTCTCTACGACTGGGAAAGGCATCTGATAGCAGTTTCTTGCTCGAGAGCAAAGGTTGTGCTCTTGTTGGGTTCCATGGATCATCTTCGTATAATTATCTTTATGCTCTCGGAGCATATTCTTTTCCGATGACTCCTCTTGCTGAAGCGGGGAAGCTATACACACAAGCTGGTGATAGAGGAGCTTCCCAAGACAATGGTGGTTTCGGCGGTGTTTGATCATCTTCATGTTTGAGTCCGAACGAAACTTCCTCCACCAAGCTTTATCATCATCCTGTATCTTTAATGTATCTTCATCCTGTATTATACTTACGTATGTTCTCTTATGTTGTTTGGAGCATCGATCTCAATATCATATAATAAGACAATTGTTTTTTCCTAAAACAATTAAGCTTCAAATTTTCACTTTAACAATTATGTGATTATATTTTGGAGGAAACAAAAAGGTTTTGTGTCATAGAAACGGTTAGGACGGACAGCGTTATATATCCTATACTAATATTTGGGAAGTACATCCTAAGGATCATAACGTTGATTTTGTAAGAAATTACAATATATGCCATTAGAAAATTCTAATTATAATCATTTTATTCCATGTCATTAATATATATTAACGGGTCAACAGGTCAAATGGGTTTAAAGATATTAAAGAGATTTTGTTTATATATAATCCGAATTTATACAAAAAAAATGTTATATAATTCAAATTTATAAAAAAAAATGTTATTTTGAATTATAATAATCTATTTAGGAAGTACATCCTAAGAGTCATAACTTAGATTTTGTAAGAAATTACAATATATGCCATTAGAGATCTCTAATTATAATCATTTTATTCTATTTCACTAATATATATTAACGGGTCAACGGGTCAACGGGTTTAAAGATCTTAAAAGATTTTGTTTATATAATACATAATTAATATAATTCGAGAATGTTATATCCTAATCAATTCGAAAATGTAATACAATAAGTAAAAATCCTATACTAATATACTAATATAATTGAAAATGTTATTCAAAATGTTATATAATAATCCATTATTCGAACATGTTATAAAAAATAAAAAAATGTTATTGAAATTGTAAACATAAATGATATATCATTGAAAACATTTTATATCAATCCAATTTATAAAAAATGCTATTCGAAAATGATATATCATTGAAAACATGTTATATCAGCCCAAATTATAAAAAATGCTATGATGAATTATAATACTCAGGTCAATGGGTCAAACGGATTTAAAAATATTAAAGAGATTACCTAATATTTAGGATCGGAGGCCAATCACGAATCTAACAAACATGTATTTTGTTTAGATACAAATAATATTTAATCATAAAACAAAATTTAGTTTAGATTTTAAAATATTTCTTTAACTAAACTATACTAATTAATTATGATTAGTATAAATGGAAGAAAAAACGAAATTGTATCTATTTAACATTTTTGAAGTACAAATTTGCTCAAAGCCAATCGGGTCGGGTTTTTAGTTAGATTTTGACCCGGATTTTTTTTTTGACCCGACTCTCGGATTCTTTTAAATGAGACTTTCCAAAAAAAAATCAAGTAATTCGACTAAATATTCGCTTAGTTACTTGATATTCCCTACATTCAAGGCAAACAACATTTACTTTCTCATAATTGAAAGATATGGAGAATATATATAGTTATAACAAATTGAATATCTACTTATTGATTTTAATCCTTAAATAAGTATTTCGGATCCATATAATGTGAGACTTTCCTAAACAAAATCATAACAAATTAAAATGATTGGAAATCTTCAATTGGATCTTGCCTAATTTCTACAAATACGACATGTAATTAGTTTAGAAAGATTTGACAATATTTTTACGTATATATGGTTCTAACAAACCAATATTTGACAATCAAATTGTTTCCTATTATAATACTAGAGATTTTGATGCAAGTCAGTTTGTTTCCTAAATAAAATGAACAATATCAATTCAAAATTCAATCTCATCCAATGAATTAGAAATGTTAAATAAGTAAACGATTTTGTTCTTATTTTTCATAGCATATATGTGGCATATTCTATAGATTCTCGATTCACAGATTTGTAAAGATATCTTTCACTTGCTCACCAAATTTTTTTAAATCTCTAACCTAAAAACCATACCAATCTTCTCAAACCACTATAAATAAACGTGCTTTTCCAAGATCTAAACTCACCAAACACAAAACCGTTTGTACATCTCACACCAACATTGTACCTTTTATCACGATAAAAAATCCTTTCACAGATTAATGGATTGTTCATTTGCCATTCTCTTTTCTCTACGGTCTCCTTGCTTCTCACTAAACCTAAGAAAGCAAACAAAGACTTTCTTGAGTAAGTCACTCAATTCTCTATTTTAACTTCATCATTATTGTTAGATTTTGCATATACGGTTGTTCTTAAATTTTTTGCATCATCTATGTTAAACTCCCTTAAACTATCAACCATTTAAGAAAAAAAAAGTTATATGCCCATAAGGTATTGAACACAAGATTTTGGTTAGTTCTTATGAATGATAAGCCTTTCAATTTGTTGCAGGATGAAAAACGTGAAAGAATTGAATTGGCAAAAGGATAAATGATGAACCTGACAGGCTCACACTACAAAAGGAAAACATGGTACAAAATTTAATCTATCTGAAAACCTCTTAAAGAGGCAATAACATGGTAATCAAGAAAATCATGTTTATGTCTTTGGATAGACTCATGTTCATACCCTTTTGTTATCCTTGACTTTTTTTTTAATCAATATAACAGAATTTTCTAATTGGATGTTGCATGGATTCTTTAAATTTTCAGTGATTTCAAAGAAATTACCAAGAGGAATGAGTTGAAATCTGGGTTCCAAAACCATCAATCTGCGTCTGTGATAAATCCACTTTCATATCAAACTCACTAGACCCACCAATTGTATCGCAGTAGAACGAAGAAAAACGGTGGAGCAACAACAACCGTCCGATTGACAATAATGGTGGCTCCGAATGAATCTGGAATTGGCTCGAACCTAACCGATCCACTAATCTGAAGAGAAACAATTGATCGGTGTCTGAAACTTGCGGAACTTGAAAGAAAAGTTGAAGATTTGGAAGCCACTTACCTTTGGTATGTGGAAGCAGGGACCGAGAAACTGAGGTTATCACTTATCAATGACAATCATCGTCGTCCCTTTGATGTATTGTCTATCTTTAAAGAAAGAGAGACTTGCCGAGACAACGTTTTTTTTTACTTAAAGATCTCACACTTTTTGGGCACTAACGGACCCTTTGGTCCACAATATCAATGATACATTGTTTTGGTCTTATATTAACGGGCCTTTCATATGGGTAAATGGCTCCAGAACTGGATATTTGATCTTTTTGTGAATCGAAAATGAAATGTCAAATAGTTTTAGAGATTTTCGTAAGACTTCATGTATTTATTCTATTTTATGACTATATGATTTGACACTCATAAAAAGATTATCACACCACACGTTTGTTTTTACTTATTTTCTAACCTATATATTTTAATATTTTTAAGTACACTTTACTTCCAAGTTCTAACTTTAGTTTGGTATGATTTTTTAAGTTCGAATGCTAACAATTAAAGTTTGAATTCTAACAATAAAAAATATATGCAAATAAAAATATTTCCTAGAAAAATGGCAAGATAATTTGGAGATTGAATAGCAATTAGAAATGTGTAATTAGGATGGCGTTAGTTATCTTTGTCAAGTGTTTTAGTATACATTTTTAAAATATCAATGTGATTTAGTTATTACCAACTATTTTCTAGCCTTTGTAATTAAGTTTTTTAGTTTTAAATATTATAATTGATATATTTAAAATCAATTAAAAAATTATAATTTTATGAATATTTAAATATATAAAAGATTTTAAATAATACGGAACGGGTTATATTGCATGACGGGGTTATATGGCGAGACGGTTTTTTTGAAGAAAATGAGGACAGATTTGAATGAATATTAATAAAATTTAAAATATCATTAACTGGTCACTTTAATACGGGTTGGACCCTCATTTAGTTTTTTTTTAACACCACCACTATTAGACATATCGAATCAGTCTGATTTTGTAAGATATAACTATACATAGATAAACTAAAACAAATGTAGCTTCACGATATAAAAACCACATACTATTACACTTAGAATATCGCAAAGTTATATCTTATTAAAAATCGTACAGAATCAAACTTACGTTACGGTACCAATTAACATACAAATAATACAATAGGTTCATAATTTAAAAAAAAAAAAAATTATTTTCCCGCGGTATACCGCGGGTCATATCCTAGTAAATAGACTATAGTAAGAAGTGAATGTTGTTATGATTGTTGTCGTCACAATATATGAATATTCGGTCACAATAATTATATTGTGACAAAACTAACACGAATTCTAGAATGTTAAAATAAAATCATCACAAATCCATGTATATTTCAAAAAGGCACAAATGTATGTGACGATTAACAACAGTAAAAATTCTTCTCTGATTGTGACCATATTTATATAGTCGCCGAAAAGATAAAATTCGTGACGGACAATACTGTCACAAATATATTACTACTAGTGACAACAAATTCGTCATATATTATTACCATATTTAAGTCACTGAATGACCCATTATATGTATTTTGCAACCAAAATGTTACCAAAAATCCAACACAATTAGTGACTCAATTATAGTCACATAAACGTCAAATTTTGATTTTCATTTGTGACCTTTTTTTCCTACTGGACTCGTATAAATTTGTTACATGATCGTTGGTTTCCATGAAAGATATATCCAGCAACAATGCAACATGCTTTATCAAATCGGGGTCTATCTAAGTTTGATAATTTGATTATCTTTTACTCCACCACGTACACGTTTCTCTCCTATATTTTAAAGCGACAATGTCGTTTAATAAGACAAAAATTCTATGTTAAAAGTTCTTATTTTCTCCTAAGATTAAGCCATTGTCCAATGCTTCTCACTCAGCAAGTGATGATATCTCCCAAACTTTCTCGCCACACTAATCTTATGTTTTGGTTCACAAATTTACAAACTTTGAGCTATATCTATTATACACACATATCTGTAGCTTTAGGCAATGCGTGTTACAGTTACAAGTAAGTTAAGTGTTTCTACTTACTTTCAGAAAAAGAACGACACAGATTTCTTATGCAGTTTCTTTGTGGAACGAGATTTCGTAAGCGCATCTGCGAATTTAATCAGCTCTTTCTTCCCGTTTTGATCTGATTCTAAACAGTGTTCTTCTCCATAGGTGGAAGAACCCGCTGCTTCGCTCTTTCGACGCAGCATCCCGATGTGATTCTTGAAGTCTTCTTCTTCGTCTTTCCCACGCATCAACATTTGGAAGTCCATTGAATGCGTTGATCTAAGCTTCCTAGGAGTTGAATGAACACCTGTGCTTGAGCTGCTCGGTTCCGATGAACCAGCTCTCTTCTTGCGGTCTTGAGTATCTTTACCGTGTAAGATCTTCATTAACTTATGCATCAGCTTCTTCTTTCCTGACTTTTTTGTTTTCGTCGCAAACAAAGTGTCGACAGAAGAATCATCTAAAAACATTGAGTCAGTGATCATTGATGACTCTTCCTGCGAAGATGACCATCGATCATAATCGGTATTATCTTCCTCGTGCCCTTCGCTATGTGCGTACTCGAGGATCAGCTGTTTAGCTTTCTCTTCTGATTTGGGACTTAGAGTAGTACTAAGATCCCTAGCAACGGTTTTACCCGCCGGAGGCTGATAAGTCCGTAGCTCATATCTTAAGCAAGCATTTATCCATCTGAGATAAACGAGCTGCTCGAGGTCAGTGCATCGATCATCTTGAAGCTGCTCGACTTCCTTCTTTAACTCTTCATTTTCACTCTTCAGTCGGTTACATTCTTCGCGTAATGTCTCAATCTGTAACAAAATTATCAAAATCAAAATACAATTCTTTAGAGAAATTCCAAGAATCTGAGGATCTAAATTTGGATATATACCTCTTCAGGGTCCTCAAGCTTTGAATTTGCTATGATTTGAACAGACTCCAGCTTCTCAGAAAGTTCAAAATTCTCAAACTGTAATCTCATGTTGGAATCCGTAAGCGCGTTGATCTCCCCTTCCAAATCCCTTAACCTCTGCATCATCTTATCAGCTTCCAGATCAGGTAAAACAGCCTTGATTTCTTCTTCTTGCAGCTTCGCCACTCGTTGTTTAAGTGACAAGATCTGCGCTACGTGTTGTTGGGTATTGATGTTCAGTTTCTTCTTAAGCACTTGAACCTCTGACTTAGCCTTTTCCAGCTCCAACACAACTTTCGAATGCTCAGAACATTGAGCCTTAAGCTTCTCGTTCTCGGCTTGCAACGACTTGATCTTAAAATTGAAAACTTTAGTCTCCATCTGGTTTAGTTTCAATCTACTTCTCAGTTCCATTGCAATCTTTTGCTGCTCCTTAAGGCTGTAGTATTCCAACAACTTATCCTCAAGACATCTCTCTCTCTCACGCAGCGCTCTCACCGTGTTTCTCAACCGTTTAATCTCATTCTCATGATCAGCTTCCTCTTCGCTCGGAAATGCTAAAGGAGCAGTTATATCCGACCTCGGTGTTTCACACTCATCACAAACCAACAAATCTAACTTTTTAGCTTCCTCTTCGAACTCCGGTAAAAGAAACACATCTTCTTCATCAAGATCACATTCCCTTCGTGGCGAAAAACCGATCAAAGTCTCTTCATCAGTATTCTGCGTGCCCGCATCTCCTCTCTACCGAGGAAAAAAAAACAGAATCAGATCAAAGTTCCAGTAAATTGTCTCAAGTTATTGACCACCATTATAGCAACGCCCAAGGCTAAAAATAGCAACTTCCTATACCACAAACTGTTGATGAGATTGAGAAATTTGAACTTACATCAATGGATTGATTAGAACAATCTCTGTATCCATTATCTGAAATTGACAAAACCCACTTTAAGAATTAGACTCAGGACTGCCTAAATTAATCAAATGGTATATACAAAAAAGCAATAAGACAGAAACACAAACCAGAAGATTGAGGTCGAAGAGGAGGCAAAGTAGGTCCAATTCTTTTTGTTTTCTTTCTAAATCGAGAAAAGAGAAATGCGGCAAAGGACACAGTAAGAGCTGCTCCTAATTGAAGCACTAAGTTTATATCTCTTTTGTGTTTGGTAATGATCATAACTACCAATAAAAAAAACCCCAAAATTTTCAATTTGAAGAAAGACTAAATCATCTATCTTCTTCTTCGTCAACCTCCATCTACAAAAAAAAAAGTAACAGATTGTTATCAAAAAGACAAACTTTTGATGATGGAATCAAATAGCCCACCAAAGATCAACAGTAATCAACTCATGACAGAAATCAAAGAGACAAAGTACGGATTTTTTTTTCCTTTCCCTTTCTAATTAAAAAAAAAAACAGAGCTTTGGGAGAACCCAACAAAAAAAAAATCGAATCTTTGTCTTATTTGAAAGAGATAAATTAAGTCAACATCTAAGAATCTAGAAGACTAACCAGAAACGCCATAAAACATCTGCACGAAACGCTCTAATTTTTTTCCTCAAGATTTGGGTTTATGTTTTTTTTTGTTTTCCCAAGAAAATTTAGTAAGTTGGTAGCAGATACGAAAATTCTAGTGGGCAAAGAGAAAAAGGTTTGATTCTCGCTTGAGTGGGTTTATATCATTGTCCGATGATCAAACACGGAATGTGATGTTTCTCTACAAATTTATGATTTGATTTGACGGCGAGAATTTTGATGACTTGGAGAAATCTTGAACAGAGGATGATGAAATCGATCACGATTCACGAACATTTCAGTATCATTAATATTTTAATTAAATTATAATTAATTCATATAGACTGGCTCTTTATTGTTGTCTCGCTGTGGTGTATTAAATATAATATTTTTTACAGTAATAATAAAAGATGCAATCTCAATGTCATATACTCGTGACATGTTCAGTAGTCAACGAAAATATTACAAGACAAAAAGAACAATTTGTGGATAGATGACCCAAATCCATGTAAAGAAAATTGTGGCCCAACTAAAAAGTCAGCCCATGTCGAAAGCATAAGCCCATGAAACTTACAACGTTCTTAAAGACGCTGAAGTATGCGAGTGAATATCTATTTTTTCTTTTTAATTAGTTCAAACATAATTACTATTTAGAACCATAACTCTTTAATCAATTTTTACATTTACAGTTTTGAGTAAAACGAAATTATAGTATTTTACTTGTTTGAAATTATTTTACTAACTGTAATTGTCGTTTACATTTACAGTTTTAATTAAAACGAAACTATTATATTTGTCTGGTTTAAAATTATTTTACTATCTTTATTACTAACAAATATAAATATTCCTCTCATGTTTTTTCTTTTTTTAATTTTTTTTTTGGGCAAAAATATTATTTTATTGAAACTATATCGTTGACCTTCAAAAGAACAGAAGGAAGAACTTCTCCCATCATTGGAAAAGTGACTGATACCAAGTTTGTTCTGAAGAACGAAGGCAGTGCTATTGTTAGGTTTCATGGACGGTCTGGTTCTTGTGTTGATGGTATTGGGGCATATTACCAGCACTATCTCAATTCAATTCATAATGGACTCCATGGCAAAACTTAGAATAAAATAAAATTTCTTAGTAAACTTTTCTTTTTTAGAAAATTAAGCCTTTTAGCTTTAATAATTTTTTGAAAATAATTATGGACACTTGGCATTTGCCTACTTTGCCATCCCTAAGAGACGACCATGCCTCATCTCCTTGCCAATCATATAATATCATGGTTCCACTTTACGGTGAAGTGAGGCGAAAAAAGGAGAGTGGATATCTAGGGGAGTGAATATCTTGAATATATCTAATGTCTGGTTATTATTGAAAATAATCATTTTAAAATTTTGGAAAAAATGCATATCAAGTTATCTTTTAAGAAATTTTTTTGAATTTTTTAAAAAAATTTTGGACAATGAAATCATTGTTAATAAACTTATAACATAACATGAATTGTTATGTACTTATGTTAGTATAATAAGTTTATGAACCAACATTTTTAGTACTTATAAGTCTACGAACATGGGTTTTAGGAAATATGTGCATATTAGCAAATCTAAAAATAGATAAGTCACAACAATATTAATAAGTTGACAATGTTATACCATTTATCAGAAAAACATATTCATTTTGTTTCAAACTCAAAAAAGTTTTGGTTGAATGTAGCCAAGTTAAAAAAAGAATCGTAAATTACTTGATATCTAAGCATTAATCAATTTTTTTTTCTTAAGAAATATTTTAGGAGTTTATATCGGTTTCGTCAACGTTCTTTAAAAAATAGTATATGTAACTAAGTACTTAAAAAGGTGAAAACTTTAGAAATGAGAAACATTATTCTATAATGCCTCACATGCCACTAGTTATATACTAATAATTTTCATATGTGAAAAGAGCCAGAACTGTGTATATAAATAGGCATCTTCAGCCCCAACTTCTTCACCAATCAATCACCACAAAACAACGATCATGTTTATCATCTATATATTTCTTTTTCTCTCCTCAGCCATTATAGGTAACTAGGCTTTCCTTATCCACATTTTTTCTTTACACCATTAATGTTTAATACTAAGGATATAGTTGCAACTTTCTTTCTTCCATTTTAACTCATTTGAAGCTTGCCTGAAAAAATAAACAAAATCTCACCAGAAATTTATGAGTAAAAAGGTTATATATATAAACTATAAAGATCTAAGTCATTTAACACCATAGTACACAAAGTTTTTGCAATGTGTATGAATTGAAAATTAATTTATTTTTATTTTTTTGCTACACCAAATTTAAGCTTGATATAATTATGCAAGTTTTTCCTGTTGTTTTGAACACAATTGATGGTGGCTTAGAAAACAAATATTTTGTTTCCAGTCATATAGTCGCAACCGAAAGTAATGACTATGAGTTCCTTTGGCATTTTTTTTTTTTGGGACCACTTTCTTTGCTCCAAGATTTTGTAATTAATAACTCTTGTTCTTTTTTATGATATATATTCACATCTTCTATAAACCCTAATTTAATTTTATGTTGAAAGATTCAAATGGGTTTGCAAAGGCCCAAAAGCTGGAAGAAATTGGTGGGAAAGGGGGGAAACAGTGGGATGATGGAGCCGAGCATGACAATGTAGCAAAAGTTTATATACGAGGTGGTCTTGAAGGCATACAATACATCAAATTTGTTTACGTCAAAGTCAGAGGCTTGTTTGCCACCGAACCGGAAATATTAATCTGGCCTGCCATTTTGGAGTCTGTATGCCACTCTAGTATGTGTTATTTCCATTTTGTCCTTATGAATATTTTTATTTAATTAACTATTAAAAATTAAAATAAAAAAGAAATAGAAAAAGCAAAAAAAAATTTGCTCGCATCCTCTCCTCCCAACAAACCAGAGCTCACCTCGCCGATCTCGCCGCCCACCGTCTCCGGCGTCTCGTCCTTGCAATTGGTTTGTTCTCCTCTCTCCTCTGCCATTGATGAAACTAAGAGATTATTTCTTAGTTTCTCAATCTAACAAAGACTCTTAACTTTTGCATTTCTTTTGGTCGTTCTTAGAATTTTTTTTTTTTTTTATTCTTTGGATTTCTCTTCCGGGTTTCAATAATTGTCACTTCCCAAGTGTAAGTACGCGTGTATACTAGTCAGTTACACAAGTATCCCTATGTGTTTCTTTGTCTTTAATTGCATTTCTGAAAACTGAATTTATTGTTCTCTCAGATTCTGAGTTTTTGATCTACAGAGAAAGGCTTCAAAGGTTTGGTTTTTTCTCCGAGTTTTTTTGTCCTTCAAAAAAAACTTTGGTTGCTCTCTAATATGTGAGTTCTATACATTCCATTTAAAGCTCTGATTTTGTATTCATGTATCAATGTTTCCCCTAAAGCTCTGGTTTCAGATTAAAAGATGAATCTTAGGCTTAATTGAACAATATATACCTCTGTGATTTGCATTTGCAGATACGTTGAAAAGAAGAAACTAAGAAATGGGTAAAAGTTGGTTTTCAGCTGTGAAGAAAGCCTTAAGTCCAGAACCAAAACAAAAGAAAGATCAGGTTTTTTGATAGATTCTACACATTTTTTGGTTATTTATATCCATAAAGACAAATGCTTGTTTATGTCTTTGGTGTAATTAAAAAGCTGATACTGAAAATGGTATTGTTTTGAAGGATTTGAAGTTGAAGTGTTCAAGGCTCGAAGCTCATTTGGAGAAGGTGAAGCGAAAGTGTTCAGACCTCGAAGCTCAATTGTTGGAAGAAAAGGCAAAGGTTTTGGCTGCCATAGCTCCACTCTCGTCGTTTGATGACGGTGTTTTTGATGACTTTTTTGAGTTCTTATGCAAGTAGATCTAGGTTCTGCTAGTGCTAGAGTTGTTTGACATGCTCTCTTGCTTTCTCTTCTAAAATTAAGAAAATAATTTAAGTAGACTTCATGTTCGCACATTTATATAGAAGTTTTTTCTGTGGTTAAGGATTCTCAAGGTGTCTTTAGTTTATCGTTTTATTGTGCAACACTAACAGTGATTAATAGAACCAAATTCATTGCTCCTGTGGAAGATAAATGATATTAATTAAAAGAATATTTGATGACTAAAAATCATTTGTATTTGTCGTACAACCATGTTCGACCGGGTACAACTAGATTCGACTGGTACAACTAGGACCGACTAGTACAACTAAGACCATAAATATACTGGGTACAACTAAAACTATAACTATAACCATATATGTATCAGTATATGTACTTGTCGTATTCATACAACTATGTTCAACTGGGTATAATTAGGTTTTGACAAGGTACAACTAAGACCATAAATGTATCCGTATGTGTATTCAACAAATAAGAAAAACGATAAATTAGAGTTAACAAGGATTCCAAAAACATGTTGAACTAAAAAAGAAACAATTTTAAATAAATAAAACTTGAATTTATCAATTTCCTAGTGCATACTATTGTTTTCATATGAAACACTCCTTATAGTACAAGGAACACTTTGTAGGTGATCACTTCTATTGATGCAAAATAGGTGAAAATTATGATTTCGTATAAATTGTATTATGAAAACTTCTTAGATGATAATTAATAGGGTAGCAACATATGTCCAACTTAAAATTACTAATTTTTATTAAAGTCCAACTGAAAATACGCAAAAATCGCCAAAGTCCAACTATGAACATGTGAGTACAACTGGACAACTAGTACAACTATGTTTAAAACAAAACAATTTACCACACGTGTGATGATTTTAAAATAATATCCCGCCGCCAAAATGATGCTTACGTGGATTAAAAATAATATCCCGCCGCCAAAAATGATGCTTACGTGGATAATTTTTTTTTTTTTTTTACTTCTTTGAAATTTATTAAAAATTGTTATTTTTAATTGTCTCAGTTGTACCAAAGTGATCTAGTTGTACTTTCTTATAAGTAATCCATACACATAGTTGTACCTAAATAGACTAGTTGTACCTACAAAACCAATTGAACATAAATATAATCTAAATATTATTTGGTTTACAAAAATACGAAGTCATATGTTCTTAATTCACAATACAACAAAATACAAAAATGAAATACAAAAACATAAGTCATGTGCAATCTTAATCCACAAGTACGTGCAGACTTGACTTGTGCGCTTTCTTTCTAGTTCTTGATCAAGCTCTTCCTTCCACTTATCCTCTATCTTTGACAGAGCAACACTACAAAACCAAAATATACCAGTTGTACCTATACGTAGTTGTACCTAAATATACCAGTTGTACCTAAATAAACGATTGCATACAATATGATTCATAACCAAAAGATTCACGTTAAAAAATTTCATACTTTCTAAACAAATCAGAACCTATGAATCATTGACCTAGGGTATTTTTCTTTGATATCCTTAATCAAGTTTAAAGCATTTACAAGACCTAAACAAAAGCAACAAACAAAGCTTATAGCAAACAAACAAACAAAAAGTGTAAAAGATGCTAACACATATGGTATAAAGTGATATTACCAGCATGTATGGATGATACATGATTATCATGCTAGATACAAGAACCATGTTTCGATCCATTCCCCCTTAAGGACACAAGACTTTTACAAGGATAAGAATAAGTTCAACAGACATATAATATGACAGAACGCATTTCCAATAACATTTTGTGTGATGAAGCAAAGATATTAACAGTTTAACAATGCATGAGAGAAGAAAACACATCAGAAATACTAATTCAACAATGCATGAGAGAAGAAAACATATCACAAAGACGAAAGTTCCAAGTCTTATCACAAAGACTAACATCTAACTCTCACATTATAGCCTTGTTCCTCTATAACCAATTTCAAATCCTATGATATCGACATTTCCCAACTAAGAATACCTAACAATATGCCAATATAATCAACAAGAACCATAAGCTTTCTGTCAAAATAGCTCTCAACAAGCTCTCTTAGTTACATCGTACCAATACCACAAAACGGACAAAGACTCGCTACAGTAACAAAATCATCACAACAAATTTAAGGTAAAAGTCAAGAAGAGAAAACTCACCAATGTCGACCAATAACTTCCTCAGCTCGATAACCAGTAACAATCTCAAAAACAGTGTTAACATAAATGATAGGGTTATCAGGTTCAAGAGCATCGCTGACCACAAAACCACACGGCGCCGTTCCAGGAAGACTACCTACCGGAAACGGAATCGCTCTGTTATCTCCGCCGAACCATCCATCCTCCGCCACTTCATCTCCCCCGCTGAGATCGGAATCACTATCCCACTCCATTTGATTTTGCTTACACACCCACAAAAAAAAAAGCTTAAGACTTTAAACTAACCCACGAATCTTCTTCTTCAGCAATAGGAGAAGAGACCCACAAGAACAAAGTTTGATTTTGAATCGAGGAATCTGATATCTGTAGGTAATCGAAGTCTCCACAGAGAAAAAGCTCAAAACTTTAGACAAACCCAGGAATCGTCTTCTTGAGTAACAGGAGAAGAGAGAGACCCAGAAGAACAAATTTTGAAATGGAATCGAGCGAAGGAAGAAGAATCTGATATTTGTAGGTAATGGAAGTCTCCACCGCCCAACTTCTAGAGGAGAAGAAGAAGAGAGATGATTCGGTCGGTCGATGACTCGGATCTTCTCAGTGCCTCTCTAGAGGAGAAGAGTAATTGTTAACCTTTTGAAAGGGTTTTTGGGTATTTCCTCTGATTTTGATTTAAAAAGAAGAGTGAATTTGTGCAGAGGTAAAAATGGGAACACAAATTAGTGCAGAGGTATTATAAGAAGTTGTCGGCTACGAGGTATTATCAAAAGCTAGAAAAGGGTCACCTTTAGAAGTTATTTACAAAATAACCAGGAAGCGTAAAACGTATGCGCGTGGGTTTGGCTTCTGACACAAAAGTACAATTAAACTGACACATATTAAATGCTTGTCAAATACCTGACCCTTACGCGCCCCACATGCGCATGTCCAACATAAGAGCTGCTTAGACATACACCTTTTAATATAGACGTCTACATATTTAACAACAGGAGTAAAACTCATTGAATATGTAGTTGTACATAACTAGATATACATGTATTTATAAATGTAGCTATCTATAGCTAATGAATGAACATGTATATCGCGGGAAAAGTTAAAACGTAGAGCCATAAAAGGTTAGAAGGTATCACCAACATATTGAAACAAAAATACAAATACTACTAGTTCAGATTTCAGAAGATGAAAGACTGGTGGAACAATGATTCAAAATAAAGAAGGAGGATAGAGGAATAATCTAAAAGAAAACATAGGTAGATTGTAATAAAATACATAACCCTCAGTTGGGTTTCTAATGAAAGTCAGGATAGAGGAATAATCTATGCAGGTTTGGACATTCACAAATCTGCATAGATCTATACTTTCGTGTTTGCATGTTCATAAGTTTTCTTGCGGCTCCATTAACTGTTCATCCCCCTCGTAATCCACATCTAGCAAGACCAACCTTGTTCTGTCTCCACCTGTTCATGTTTTTAGCAATCCAAGTTAATACATGGATATTCACAATTGGATAAGACTCATTATTTGCAAATGTAGAGCTCTATGTTACATTGGCTATGTTACCTTCGAGGTATGTGTCATCAACCACCGGCGCTGCGTCCCTAGCAAAAGTTTGCACTGGCATTTCAAGCATATAAACATAATAAACACGACGCTGTTTTTCTTATCGGTTTGAATGAATTAGAAAAGAGTTGAGAGAGATATAAACATAAGATCTACATCTATTCTTTGTAGATCTATTTGTGAAGATCCAAACAATGTTTTAGATTCTTATTTGTATCGTGAAAGTTATCTTTTCCGATGAATAAACAGTGGCAGTGTAAATAATAAACACAACACTGTTTTTGTTATCACTTCGAATATTAGAACAGAGTTGAGAGAGAGATGAAAATAAGAAGGAGAGAGGTGCGTGGGGCCATGAGAATGAGAGAGGTGCGTGGGGCTAAAATCGAGAAAAAGGATGGCTAATTATTATCATTGTCTTGAGTCATATGGCATAATACCGAAAATTTAAATAACTCAAAAAGTAGTGTCTCTCACCCAATTATCTCTAAAAAGAAATAGTAAAAGAAAATGAAAATACGAAGGTGGCATTCCAGCATTTTATTTCCCCAAAAGTGGCTTTCCAGCCATTGTTTCATGGAAAATCTATAGATGGATCCATCCATGGTGTTTCGGGTAGCGGTTTCACACAGACGGTATATTTTATATATAAATTTCAACTCTCAGGGCCAATAAAACTCAACATTGGATCTTATCATGTCGTGGATCCCCATATTACTACAAAATTCCTATTAATGTAATCACTATATTTGTTTGCAGTTTGAGATTGATTATCTAAATAGTGAATATATTGTATCTCTTGATGGCTACTACGACAAAACCGGTGTGATGCAAGCACTTGAATTCAAAACCAATCTCAAGACTTCTGAAGTGATTGGGTATCCAAAGGGTACTAAAAAATTTTCACTCGGTGGAGTCAATGGCAAGATGATGATTGGCTTCCATGGATCCGCTGGGAAAGCCCTAAACTCCATTGGAGCATATTTAACAACAGCTCCTCCTACTAAGTCAGAACTCGTAGGTGGTCTAACCGGAGGCGAACCTTGGGATGATGGTCCTAATTATGATGGAGTAAAAAAGGTATCTGTTACTTACATTAGCACTCTTATAAGGAGTATCAATGTGGACTATGAAAAGGACGGCCAAGTTGTAACACGTTACCATGGGATGAAGAATGGGGATACAGAGGAGGTATTAAATTCTTATCAACTCTTAAGCATAACTTTTTTAGACTCATTTGGTCCATAAATATACTTAAATTGCTTATTTTAATATATATATATATATCCAAACCAATTAGACGAATTAGGCGTTTATTTTAAGAAATCTTAAAGTTGATATGATTCATTTCAAAATTAAATGACAATAAATCAAGCAGTCTATGTACACAAATATATATATACCTTAAATGTTATATCAGATTTTCATTTTTATTTTTATTTCATCTAGGTTTAATAACATTGTTTTCTATATTGCAGTTTGTGGTAGACTATCCAAATGAATATTTGACATCAGTGGAGGGTACCTACAACACACTCCCTGATGATAACGTTTTGGTCATTAGATCGTTGATCTTCAAAACATCAAAAGGGAGAATCTCTCCCACATATGGGTTTGTGTCAGGTACCAAATTTGTGTTGGAGAGCCAAGGTAATGCTATTGTTGGATTTCATGGGCGGGATGGTGGTGCTTTCGACGCTATAGGGGTTTATTTCTCTCCGATTCCTTCATAATTCAAAACTATAAAGGCTATAAACCATAGAGTTTAATGGAAATGACTTCACTCGTTCCACCATGTTGCCTTAAGGCTCTCGTATCTTCAATTAATGTTTTACTACGTACTCCAGATGTTTCTTAAATTAGTAACTGATTCCGAGTTTGCAATCTCTTGTAATAAAACAAGGTTTAATTTTTAAACCTCTATTTCAGTATTTCAAAATAAAAAATACTACAGTTATATTTCTCTTTGTAGCAAATGCAAACAAAACTTTCAATTTTTTTAAGCTCCAATGAAACTGGCACCTTTTCGGCAGCATTTTTAACGTGATATTTCTCTTTGTATTATGGACCAATGTGGTCACATCACATGATCCCGTCTAACTTTTTTCTTCCTTTTTAAGTATTTAATGTAAGCTCATTAGAATATTTCTAGTCCACCATGTATAAAAATTTATGTTAACTTTTACTAGATTCAGGTTAAAAAGTTTTAAGATTCGCTCCGGAGATACATAAAAATGTGGATCCAGATATGAATATATATCTTCTTCTACGCAAATAGACTTTCCTTAATGCATGATGCTTAGTGTTGTTGACTTTGTTCCTTTTTGAATTATATGTTGTTGGATCAAAGGGGTATATATTGTTGTTAGATTTAAGAAAGAGTTGAGACCTTTGGTTGGTTTCTTCTCTCTTATTTTTTCTCTTTTTGGCCAATGGTTGTTGTCAGTGTTTCTGCATGTGTTTTGTTTATTAAGTTGACTCGCAATGACTGTAAAACTTATATTTAAATCATTAATACACGTTAAGAAAGATCACACACCAGAAGAAAAATGAGAACTAAAAGAATCTCTAAAGGTATGTATCCATCAATCTACTTTTTTTTTTGGACCAAAATATCCATCAATCTATATACTAATAATTGGTTTTGAGTTAGAAGTTTATAAACTTGAATATATAATTAAAATAACTCCAAAGAAGATAAATATACGGTAACTAATATTAAATATGCAATTAGATTTAGTTTGAGGTGGACCAAAAAACCATCATCATCAATGAGGAAAACCAAATCAGTATATAGTAAAAAAAAAAAAAAGAAGAGAGAAACTCAAATAATATATGAGAAACATCAAACATGCATGAACTACTTTATTTATTATCTAAACTGAAGAACTTTAAACCAATATACATATATACTGAAATGTCATCTGTTATTAAAATAAATCTAATTCTTAGCTTGAGTAAAACAGCCTTTAAAAAAGTGAGAAAAAAGAACATTTAAACATATAAATTATAAAAATATCATAGTTAAAAGAACAATCGATAACAACTCGAAAACTTTAAAACAGGCAGCATCCATACCAACATGAATAACCTAACTCGATTCCATAGTCAAAATATATGTTATATTTTGAGTTTATTGAATGGGATGGTTATCAAAATGGCATAACCTGTTTAAATAAATACATAACATGCTATGTATGTTGTAAACTTCAAACACAAAACAAAAGATTCTTTAGTAAACAAACAAGAAGTCAACATCAATCTTGAGCTAAGAAACTTCAAATCTTACAATCAAATATTCAACACATGATTAGAAAGCGGGAAAAGCAAGTAACTAAAAATAATATAAATATCATAGTTAAAAGAACAATCGATAACAACTCGAAAAGTGAAAAACAGGCAGCATCTATACAATCCAACAGGAATAACCTAACTCGATTCCATAGTCCAAATATATTATATTTTGAGTTTACCGTATGGGATGGTTATTAAAATGGCATAACATGTCTAAATAAATATATAACATGTTATGTATGTTGTAAACTTTAAACACAAAACAAAAGATTCTTTAATAAACAAACAAGAAGTCAACATAAATCTTGAGCCAAGAAACGTCAAATCTTACAATCAAATTTTCAACACATGATTTTTTTTTGGTGCGAATAGTCAACACATGATTAGAAAGCGGGAAAAGTGAGTATATATATATTGTCTTCTTTTTTTTTACGACTAAATGAGGGATGCAACACGAAGACTTTTCGGGAGGTCACCCATGACCTATTTCACTATTAATTTCACTAAAACACGCTTAACTGCGGAGTTCTGATGGTATCTAGTGCATTAGTGTTGGTATGATCGGATCCTATATATTGTCAAAAGTCAAAATTCATGGTTGAATATATTCATCGACCAGATTTGATAATGAATTAACTAAATAGCATAACCGGCTTAAATAAATATATAACATGCTATGTATGCTGTAAACTTCAAACACAAAACAAAAGATTCTAAAATAAACAAAACAAGAAGTCAACATCAATCTTGAGCTAATAAACTTCAAATCTTACAATCAAATATTCAACACATGATTAGATAGCGGGAAAAGCGAGTAACTAAATATATATTGTGAAAAGTCAAAATTCATGGTTCGTTATATTCATCTACCAGATCTGAGAATGAATTAACTAAATACAAGTAGGCATTATATATTTCTTTCGTAAAGATAAATCGATTCAGATATAAGTTTAGGGGTGTAGGCGTATCTCGTGTAGGCATCTCCACATCATATTCGAAAACAAAAAATTTCAGTGGCACATGCTTCAAGTGATAAAATACTGCTGATCCAAAAATAATATATATATTCAACAAATATGAAATATCTAGACACAAATATATATAGCATATGTACTTTCCTTTACTATTATTCAACAAATATGATATTTGGGCTCCGAATGGAGAAAGCGTATCGGGCAGAGCGGATCAAGCGTACCAAGCAGAACAAAAGCGGATCAAGCAGATCTAGCGGTACAAATGCGGATCAAGCGGTTCGAACGTTTTAAATATGTGTTGAATGGTGAAAGCGGATCAGGCGATGCGGGTGAAATATTTATATTGTAGAAAATGTTAATTTTAAATAAAATATTTACATAAACAATACACACTAAAAACAATAATATTAAAATAAATTTATAATATTGGTTTAGCATATTCTTCAACATGTATTTAAGAAAATATTTATAAATGTACTAAAATGTCTATAAATTAATCTCAATTTTAGATAAAATATTTTACAAAATAATATACATAATATTATAACTCCAAAAAATAGTTTAGATAATGCAAGTAAAAATATAATATTTGTAATTCAAGTATTTTAAATCACTATCCGAAATATAAAATTTGGATTAATATGTGTTATCGTAATATTAACAATAATGATCATAATTGTTTGGGTAATTTATACAAATTATTTTCATCTGCAGTTGATAGATTTGATTTGAAAAAGATAAGACTTTGCTAAAATAGCATAATAATGGGTACAAAACTATTATAATAAAGAGAATTATCTTAACTTGAAATTGTTATTTTATTGTTATTTCTTTTAAAAATATGTAATACTTTCAGTTTATTTTAAATTATTAAGTGTTTTAATTAGAAAGTAATAGTATTAAGTCTAACAAAGAACTATCTTTTAATAATTGTAATATTATTTATTTGTTGTAACATTTACTTTTATAACATTATTTGTTATTTAAATAAGTTTGAGTACAAAAGAAACTTGATCACGAAAATCCCAAAACAATATTTTTATTAAATAAATATATCATAGAAGAAACACACTTGATACACTCGTTATTGGCTGTGTAATTACTGTTGTTAGCAGATCATGGTTCTTCTTCACATATTTGAACCACTTGCGGTTCTTTTAATATTTTATTATTTTAAATATTGAACTGCTTTTTAATATAATAGAGTGATGAATGGAAGCACAAAAGTGTTTCTCCCACCCTTGACGTTTGAACCGTCAAATAACCGTACGCCATTCAAGGCCTTGGATTACAGAAGTTTCAACCATTTTTCTCGATGATGCAGCGAGATATCTTTATTTCTATTATCTTTTAATTTATTAATTATAATTATTCTAGAATATTTTATGGATTTTAGGGTTTTATGCTTTTATTATAAGTAGCCTTCTTAGGCCTCCTATTGTATTAAGTTATTGATGAATTGATTAATCGAAAGATTTAAAGAGGTTTTTATAAACTACTGAGAAGAGTATTCACAAACCCTAAGAGCTTTTGCGAAAGCCCTGAGAGGAGGACTCTCAAACTCTAGTTTCCTGGTATTCTCAGAATCAACGGATCTTAGAAGCTTCCGCTTCATCACCCGAAATGAAAGCCAAGAAATATACAACGACAGATTACAAATTTACTTCCTCTACTATGAACATAGGAAAGAGAAATAAAACTCTAATATTGAAGTAATTGGATGGACATCCATGCAATATCTCATAAGGTGTATGAGAGTAACTCTTGGACTAATTCATTTAACTTAGAATTTAGATAAACTTTCTAGTTCTTTTTAGATATCTATACAAAATACACACAAATCTAGGATTACTATTATTATCATATTTATTTAATACTAGCTCATTGACTGATTCATTTAACTGATCTCAACTTAAACATAAATATGATAAACGATATGAGCTCAGCTCACTCATGAACGTATTACTGGGCGAAAATATTTCTACATACATCATCTTCTCTTACTCTCTTTTTTTTTTTTTTTTTTTTTCGTTTTGTGTAGTAAGAAAATGTGTTGCAGGTTTCAATTTTTTGGCTTCAATATTCATATAAATGAACTCAATCTTGTGATCCTTGTTAAAAAATATTTCTCTGCATTTTTCTTTTTTTTTGAATGTAATGTTAAATTATATTCAAAAGAAAAATAAACGTTTTTACATCAAGTGCAGCGTGTGTTTGAAAACTTAAATCTGAAAATGCTCAAGAAACATAAAGATTAACTTCTCGAGTTGAACCAAAATTGAAGCCCCTCCTCATAGCGCCTATCTCCAGCTTGACGGATTGAAGATAGTTGGTTCCGGATTTGCTTATCAGTCCATGCGATCAATTGTGCCGCTGAGTTTGGTTGTTCTCCATGTCGCCGGCTGTTTCTTTCTCTGCATTTTTCTAGTTAGATGTTTGGAAACATACAAAAATTCTTTGAGAAATATATGTGATTTTGAGTGAAAACACATCATTTTACAGAGAAAACATAGAATGATGGTTATATGTTCAATATTACACATATTAATTGCATTTTGTTCTATGTTTTTAAATTGAATGACATGTTAAGTAGGTAAAAAGAATAGAGTAATGCTCCATTTCGTTTGTTATAAATTTTCTAAACTAAGGTCCCGTACGTCTGTTAAAAGTAAAGTTTTTCATCGTGAACGTGAAGCATGCATGTAGAAGCATAAGCATCTATCGTAAATTGAAGCGGATTTTAAATCATAATGTAGATTTAACTATTGTGGAATCATTCGTAAAACTGCATGTCCACTGTGTTTCTATATGTATTAGGGCACCTTCATTGTTGAATAAAAAATAGAAGATAATTTTATTAAGAGACGATGATCTCTAGTTGAAAACTTCTTATAATAGGAGTGTTAGTTTTATTGGTTTATATTTTATTGAAAGATTCAGATATATAATAAAAAAGTAATAAAATATCAATATTTAAATGTTTAGATACCCATGATGGTATCTTAACTGATAAAAATGCTCTTAGTAGACTATTCGAACATGGCTCCAAAAAAAAAAAAGAATTATAAAAGTTTTAAACATATTTATACATTAGGACCTGTAATATCTAAAACTTTTTTTTACCACATTAGGTATACCTTTAATAATGTTTTTGAAGAGTAACTACAAAAAGTTTGAGATGGCTCTATATAAAGTTACTAATATACTAGGATATTACACCGCGGGTTAATTATTTGATTTTTTTTAATCATTTTGTAAACTGATGAATTTGTTGTGTATAATATTATTTGTTGTATACCGCAGATCACATGCGTTGTAACAAAAAAAAAAAAATTTAAGTTGTATTTGTTTTGTTTAGTGTTTAAGATTGTATAATTGTATTTTAATTTGTTAATATTAGGATTTCACCCGTGGTATATTGTCCCGTATTAATATCGACCCAAACCCGTCTCACTATATATTCCCGTCCTGTGAAATTAAACATCATTTTGTTATTTTTTTAAGAACACTTTTATTTAAAAGACATATAATTTGAGTCAATTTAAAAGTTTGCTTTCAAATAGTTTCCATAATATATATATTTTCAAATTAGTGTGTGTTTTTGGACCAACCCGTAAAAACAATTTATAATTTTATCTTAAAATACTAAATAATTGTATTTTGATTTGTTAATTTTAAGATTTCACCCGTGGTATACGGTCCCGTTTTGGATAATTATAGAAATTAAGGAAAGATCCGAATGATTCAATTCCGGGTCAGAAAAAAATGACCTGATTAAATGCGAAAATTTGTTCTTCAAAAATGTTAATATATATTACACATATACTTTTTTCTTCATCGATTAAGTAATACATGTCTGTTTCAAAAAATTTTAATCATAGCATATGCAGAAAAAAATCTAAGGTTTTATTAACTACATATATTTTTATAATAATTCAAAATAATATAAATATAAGATCAAATAAAAGTGAAATGAGAATCATATATTTATGTATAAATTAGGTAGAGAGGTTTTAGGAAATTAGCTCAAATTTGTCATATTAGCATTAAATCATCATATTTGATTTCTTTATCTACAAAAATCGTAAATAATATACCATAAATAAAGAATTTAGATATAGTAATTAGTTGAGAAAATATATATATTTTAGATTTTATTAATTAATTTCGTTTCTAAATTTTGCCAAAATTTAAGGAAAGATCCGATTTAGATTTCCGGGTCAAAATTGAAACAAAATCCGACCCGATTAGGATCCCTTAAAAGTGTTGCAAAAATGTATAGTAGATCATAATTTGTAATAGTCTTAAAAATCAAAATACATTCTAGCGATGATGAAGAAAATTAAAAAATGATTAGAAGAATAAACTTGAGAACTGAGAAACATTAATACTATTATCCCTAATAGGCCACTAGTCAAATATACTATAGTAACTTGCACATCTGAAAGAGCCAGAATTTTGTGTATAAAATATTTATCATCTTCTTCATTATTAACCATATCATAGCAATCATGTTTGTTATCTACATTTTCCTCTTGCTCTCCTCAGCAGCCATTATAGGTAATTAAACTCTTCAATCTATTGTATCTATCGTATATTGTTTCCCAACACTATCTTTCACCATAATTTTAACAGTATTTATGGATGAGTCATGAGAAAAAAGTGTAGAAGATTTTATCTTCTTATAATTGATTTCACATATAATCTTACTAATATTTAATTCTCCTATTAGTTATTTTATTACAACTAAATTCAATAGCTTCCTGACGGAAAAAAAAAAAAAAATCTCCAGTTTAAAATAAAATCCAGGAGAACAAATTTACTGAATCTAATACTAACGAATCAATTAGAAGCTTGTGTGTGTGTTTGTTTGTTTGTTTTATTTTTAACTGATGTGATACTTGCTATGAAAGACTATATATTAAAAATAATAATATAAAAACCAATAACTTCAATGTATGAACTATGAAGATTCCAATGGGTTAGTCATCGCTCAAAAGTTGGAAGCAATTGGTGGGAAAGGAGGCAAGCAGTGGGATGATGGAGCAAACTATGACTATGTAACAAAGGTTTATATACGAGGTGGTCGTGAAGGAATTCACTACATCAAATTTGATTATGTCAAGGATGGACAAGCCATAGATGGATCCATCCATGGTGCTTTGGGTGACGGTTTTACACATACGGTATGTTTCATAATTTCATGTGGATATATATAGAGGAAAAAGTTATTTTAAGAGAAAATTACCCTATAACTAACACAAATATTTTCACATCGCCACTTTTTTCTTAGTTTCTTTTATGAAAAGTTAGATCATTTCGAAAATACATGTAAGATTCCATGAGTTTAAAATATTTGTTAATAAATAGCCATTGTTTTTTGTTTGCAGTTAGAGATTGACCAATCCAATTATGAACATATTGTATCTATTGATGGTTACTATGATGACAAGACCGGTGTGATGCAAGCACTTCAATTCAAAACCAACCTGAAGACTTTTGAATTGATTGGATATCCAAAGGGTGCTACTAAGTTTTCACTTGGAGTAAATGGCAAGATTATGATTGGCTTCCATGGATTTGCAGGAAAATCTCTAAACTCCCTTGGAGCATATGTAACAGCGGCTCCTCCTATTAAATCGGAACTCGTAGGTGGTTTATATGGAGGCATATATTGGGATGATGGTCCCAATTATGACGGTGTAAGAAAGATGTATGTTACTTATACTAACTACCTTATCAGAAGTATCAGCACCGACTATGACAAAGATGGTCAAGTGGTAACATCTTATCATGGAAGCAAAGATGGAGAGACAAAAGAGGTAATAAATCACTATACATATGTTAAGTTTCGTAGCTAGGTTCCTAATTTAAAACCAAATGAAAGTAAATAAAATGATTTGTTTTTCATATATTAGTTTAGACTCCATAATTAAAGATGGTAATTCTTATCAGTCAATGCATCTAAAAACTAATTTTTAATGGTGAAGTTTTCTAACTTTTTCATACATATTTCAGTTTGCAATCGACTATCCAAACGAATATTTGACATCAGTGTCTGGTACCTACAACACAATTCCAGAGGATGGCGTTTTGGTTGTTAGGTCGTTGATTTTCAAAACATCGAAAGGGAGAATTTCTCCCACGTATGGATTTGTCTCTGGTACCGAATTCGTGTTTGAGAGACAAGGTTATGTTATTAATGGGTTTCATGTAGGGATGTTAATTCTGGGCTTTAGCCCACTGGGTACCCGAAACCCACGTCAAATAGTAAGCCCATGGATCTACTTTTAATCTTAAAAAAACGCGGGTTTAAAACGGGCCGGGTACCCGAATAAAGAGAATCTTATACGGGTTTACCCTATCGGGTTATGGGTACCCGTGGGGTTTTTTTTTTTAATTCAATCTAACAAAAACGACGTCGTTTCTTCTCAGAGACACAATTTTTCTCAGAAACCCTAAACGCCCAAATTCGATTCTTCTCAGAGAGACACGATTTTTCCTCTTCACCTTCAGATTCTTCCTCTTCACCATAAGATTATTCCTCTCTTCACCATCAGGTTCTTCTTCTTCTTCAATTTTTCTCTCAAATTCAATTTTGTGTAGCTTAAGTTTAGATTTTTTGTATCTTTCTTCAGTTTGGAGTTGATGGGCTTTTGATTTTGGGATCTGCTCGAAGAGGGTTTGTGAAGTTAAGGAGATTTGTCGGGTAAATTGACTTTTTTGATGTTTTGTAAAGCTTCGTCTTCTTAAGTCATATGATTTGTGTTTGCTAATCTTGTAACTCCGTGACTTGTGGTGTGATTACTACTTCCATGGGTTTGGTTTATGTTTGAGATTTGGTTCTTGTGACTTGTGGTGTTCCATGGTGTGTTTATATTTTGCAATTTATCAATAATGACTGACTTATAAATAATGGTAACAATCATTACAAGTAGTTACGTTTATGTTTGAGATTTCTAGCAATGTTTACGTGTTACCAAACTCGCTTTTGTGACTAGGAAGACAGCAAGTAGCAAACTTAAGTTGTTGGTTCTCCTTTTGGTTTTTGTTGAGAATCAATTCTTAAAAATTATTGAATGTTTATCTAATTAATTTATAATGATTACTAAATTGAATTCAGCTACAATTTCAAATGTTATATAATAAAGTCAGTGTTCAAGAAAACGCTAGGCGCTAAGCGGGCGGTGACCCAGTGCCTAGCGCCTAGAATGCCTAATCGGAGCCTAGGCGATTTTTTAGGCGGTTTAGACGTTTATAATATAAAACATTATAAATATAATATTATATATAAAAGTTATATAAAATATCTATATAAAACTAAAAATTATGAAATTATAAACAAAAACTAGATAAAACATTTATTTATATATATATTAAACAATATATGAATATTTATAACTATATATATAAATAAAAGGAAAAACTACAACAATTACCACTTTTTTTCAATTTCTTTCAAAATCTACCACATTCATAACTTCTTTTCAACTCCTACCACATTTAGTATTTGAAATTACTAATTTGCCCTCCCTATTTATCTTCTCTATTTATCTCTCCTCCCTATTTATTTCTCCTCCCTATTTATCTTCCCTACAACATTAGCTTCCCTATTTATCTATTTCTCCCTCGAGACACGTGCACTTTAACCAAGAAACATTATATCTCCTGAGACTAAACAATTAACTTTCGTTTTTGTCTCCAGATCTTGTCCCCGATTGGAAATTCTCTGTTGCGTCTAGATCTTGTCCCCGATTTCATTATCTTGCTCTATTATCATGAATCCCATATCTTGTCCACCAATTGTTCTCATTTAAGGGTTTCGAAGTTTATTTAGATTTTTCACCATCTATTTTGGTCCACAGATTAGTTGAGCATTATTGTCTTCACCTACCCGGATTACTGAATTTTTTTTTCCTTCTATTGCAAAATAACAAAAAAGATCCAGTTGTCCCCGAGTACTATTACTCATTCGATATGAACTTGTCCCCGATCTAATTCAATTACTCATTCGATCTGAACTTGTCCCCGATCTAATTCTACTACTCATTCGATATGAACTTGTCTCCGATCTAATTCTATTACTCAGTCGATCTGAACTTGTTCCCGATCTAATTCTTTTACTCATTCGATCTGAACTTGTCCTCGATCTAATTCTATTACCCATTCTATCTGAATTGTCCCCGATCTAATTCTATTACTCATTCGATCTGAACTTGTCCCCGATCTAATTCTATTACTCATTTGATATGAACTTGTCTCCGATCTAATTCTATTACTCATTCGATCTGAACTTGTCCCCGATCTAATTCTATTACTCATTCGATCTGAACTTGTCCTCGATCTAATTCTATTACCCATTCTATCTGAATTTGTCCCCGATCTAATTCTATTACTCATTCGATCTGAACTTGTCCCCATATAACATATTATTTAAATAAAATTATATGCAATTGTAAACGTGCAACATTTATTGCAACTTGTCCCTTTATCTGACACACCAGTCTGTCACCATCAAGGGCAATTTCGTCCACAAATTTGCATGTGGCAATGAAATGTGGTAGATTTTGAAAACTGTTTCCAATTGTGGTAGATTTTGAAAGCCACTTTTCAAAAAGTGGTACATTTTGCAAGATTCCCTAAATAAAACTCTAGTTGAAATTGAAAAAATATATTAAACAAAATCTATATAATTTTAGGCGGTCAAGGCGGTTATCTAGGCGTCGCATGAGAGCCTAGCGCCTAGTCGGGGCCTAGGCGACCGCCTAGACCGCTTTTTAGAACACTGAATAAAGTTAATAGGAAGTTTGTATTAGAATTAATAAATTAAAAAGAATAAAATACAAATACATATAAAATACAAATATTCATAAATCCAAATAAAGAAGAAAAAAAGGGTAATATAAATTCGGGTACCCACAGGTTACCCACACTCGCTCGGGTTTTTTTCGGGCTTACCCATAAGAACCCGAAACCCATCGGGTTTTTTGAGTTCGGGCTTTTCGTGGACGGGCTCAATTCGGGTTCGGGCTGGGCCGGGTTTTTTTACCCACGACTACATTCCTAGTTTCATGGACGTGATGGTGGTGGTTTCGATGCTATAGGAGTTTATTTCAAACCGATGGTTACTTCGTAACTCAAAATTATGAAGCTAATAAAATCTTAGGGTTCCATGGAAAATTAATCATGGTGCTATATAATGATCTCGTATCTTTTATTTAAAAAATTACTTTCCTTTACTTGTTGTCCGTGTCTCATATGTTGTTAATTTGATGTTTTCTTTCCTTTCTGAAATCTCATGTAATAAAAAAAGGTTTGGTTATTCAAATCTTTTCTAATGTTTCTATAATAAAGAGCTATTGGTTTGGATCTATTACATGAAATAAAAACTATATGCAAAAAGAAATTGTAAAACTCTAACATTGCAATATTGCATGTGCATCAAAAATTAATTTCTCAATTCCTCAAAAACAAATTGATAAACACCTCGATAAAGTCGTATAGATTACGTGTTTAATTTAGACGGGTACTTCAATTTCCAGGAGTGTTTTTGAAGCAGTTGATATCATTCGTTTGCTTGTCGCTGGCGACTGAAACCATATTTGGTAAAGTTCCTAACCTAACGTCTTTGTACCCTAGTATAATTCAACTTATCGAACTATCCTTGGGCTCCATGAGTACATTAAGCATTTCTAAATTCCATGTTCATGTCACTGGTCACTTTCTAATTTGGATGAATAACTTGACATATACCCTTCGTTGACCTTAAACTATGGCTTTATTCTTCTCCGACGACTGAAAATTACACTTCCTCTCTTTTAGTTCGGTCGCTGGGATTTTGTGGTAAGAGAATTTCTTCTCCAGAATCTTTGTCGCTATATTTTTCAGCGATCAATATAACTGATGCGCCCACTCAAAATCTCTTCATTATTATCCAAACCAACCTATGTAAAGTATTTTATCAACCACTTGGATTTCTCGAGAATGTTGCGTCCGCACTAGCTAGTAAGATTTGTAGTTATCATTTTAGGTAATCTGAAACATGGCCTCGCGTATATACGATGGCAAAGCCGATAGCACTGATTTAGTATTTACAAAATCACATTTATAAATAATATTAACAAGACATTTTAACATATACTATCAGTCTATCACCCATATGATTAATATCTATATATATATATATATATATACTAGAAAGCTGCCCACGCGATGCGTGGGTTATATATTAATATTAATTCTGAATACTAATGAAATTTGTATTAAAGTAATACGTTCCATTATTAATATAGTTTTTTGAAATTTGTTTTTTAAAATTAACTTTTATGTTCCTTTTCGAAGTACTTTTGTGAATTGCTAAAAAATAAATTCTGCTCTTTTTTATTCAAGATGGTATGACATAAATATATACCACTACTTTTTCTTAATTTACATAAAATATTTTACTGTGGAAATATATATCATACCTCATCGTACAGTCTCTTGTTTGTTGATTCATGATCCTTGGATCGGAAAAACGGTCAAAATCAACTCCAACTATTTCTATGCGGGTTTTTTCATCCCAAACTCTGACCCCTGCACTTATCAACCTGAACTCATACAATTTTCAAAAAACAAACCTAAACTATCTAACCGTTATCCAATTTCAACACAATTTTTTTTTTTTTTTGTATTTGTTAATGTCGATTAGTATTGTTAAGTCGTAATTATCTGTTCTTTTGTATCTGAATCATTCATTTTATTCAATTGGCTAAAGGTTAAATAATTCAGGTTTGTTACATTATTTAATAACAGGTATATGTTAAAATTGGCTAACGATTACATAGTTCAGGTTTGTTATTTGAAATTTATTTGGGTTCGAGTTGATAATTGGGGTTGATATTGGCCGTTTTCCCTCGTTGGATCTCATCAGAAGGTAGATCTTCCTGATCTCATGACTTTCCCTCGACAATAAGCTTTAGATATTATATCCATATAATCCATAATAAAATTAGGAGATCAAAGGTAAAACATAATCATATTTATTATTTTTTTGCTAAATTTTATCTATATATGTTAAAAATTAAAGAAAAATTTAAATAATTTGTGATAATGATTAAATTTAATAAAATAGCAAGGTGGTCCAAATGAGCAAAAACATATTTTATATAGTTAATCTGGGTTTTTCACATCTCTCTCTCGCTTCCGACTCAGCACAGCTAGTCAAAGCTTTAAAATCAGAGCTTCAACACAAGGAGCTTCATGGGATTCTTTTCGATATCCTGAATTTATCTTCTACCTTTGATGTTATTTTTTTTAGTTTTATTCCCTGTTTGCAGAACTCAGATGCCGATTTATTGTCAAAACAGTCTCTGGTTTCTCTTGTAATAGGTCTGGCCCAAACCTAAGTTAAATTTAATCAGCCTATGCACAAAAAACAAATATATATGTTACACTTAATTATAATCATATTTAATTTAGGAAAATGACTTCAGATGATATAATAAAAATTTTATCTTTGAAAGTTTATATCAAAAAAGTTTAGTTCAGTTTTGATATATATATATATATATATATATATATATATATATATATATATATATATATATAAAAATTCAATTCTTTGAAAAACAAAATGCCATTTTATAAACTTTGTATATATATATATAGGTCATAAGAGTACAAAAATTTAATAAATATAATGTAATGCCGTTTATCTAAATACTTTAATGGCATGTTAGGTTTTAACTGAATTAGTCAATTATGATATTCTATGCAATTACCCTTAGCAAACATAATTCTTTTCAAAAATCCCATGAGGATAGATTAAAAGAAAATCTTTGGTGGAACTTTTTAAATTTTTTGGTTGAATTTCACTGGGTTGGTTTTATGGAAACTTTGATAAAAATAAATACAAATGTTATATTCTTTCAT